AATGCACGCCCGCCCTGACCGCTCTCCCCGCTCTCACCGCTCTCATGGCTTCGCTCTCACCCCCCACTCCCCCACCGCCCCCCCCAATTTTCTTGTCCTCTGCCTGTAGCCCCCCACTGCCCCCCCCTCTACCCCCCCCTCTACCCCCCCCTCCACCCGCAAGATGGACACTTAAAGGCTATGCTGCACGTGCGTGCCTTGTAAACAAACACTTTACAAAGGAAACACCCGCAGAATAGACGCAACGCACCCGCAGAATAGACGCAATGCACCCTTAGCATCAGCACACTGTGTCCTGGACGAGGGCGCGGAGGGCGCGGAGGGCGCGGAGGGCGCGGAGGGCGCGGAGGGCGCGGAGGGCGCGGAGGGCGCGGAGGGCGCGGAGGGCGCGGAGGGCGCGGAGGGCGCGGAGGGCGCGGAGGGCGCGGAGGGCGCGGAGGGCGCGGAGGCGCGGGGGCGCGCGGAGGGCGCGGAGGGCACAGAGGAGCATCCACGTGTCCCCGCTCCCCTGCCCATCAACCGAATGTCACGCTCCCCGCCACGCCCCTCTCCCAGCAAAATGTTCCGAACCCCCTCCCTTGACCGTGTGGTCCCCGCGGCCTCACGTCAAAACTCCTCCAAGAAGCGATCCGATAGAACGCCTCAAACGAGAACCCAATTTCAGAAGGGAAGAATCCAAGAAAACAAAGAGCACGCGCAGAATAGACGGTAAGCGTCCAAGGCACCCCCTCCACCCCCCCTCCCTCTGCCCCCCCTCCCTCTACCCCCCCTCCCTCTACCCCCCCCCTCTCTACCCCTCCACCCTCCTAACCCCCCCCTACAACCCCCCCCTCTACCCCCCTACCCCCCCCCCCCTCTCCCCCCTCTTCTACCCCCCCCTCTACCCCCCCCTCCCCGCCCCCACCTCCCCCCCACTCCCCTGTCCTCCGCCTGTAGGCCTAGCCCCACCCCCTACGCCGCTCCTGATCAATCTCTAGTGTTTTAGGGGGTTCCAATGCACGCCCGCCCTGACCGCTCTCCCCGCTCTCACCGCTCTCATCGCTCCGCTTCCCTATGTGCCCGAGTTACTCCCTCATCCAACACCAACCCCCTCGACATTCCTTCACTCCGCACCCACCCACCCCACCCCCCACTCCCACCCCGCCCCCCACCCCCTCCCACTCCCCTGTCCTCCGCCTGTGGGCCTCCAATCTTTAGTGTTTTAGGGGTTCCAATGCACGCCCGCCCTGACCGCCCTCCCCGCTCTCACCGCTCTCATCGCTCTGCCTCCCTATGCCCCCGAGTTACTCCTAATCCAACACCAACCCTCACTCCCCCCTCCACAGTCACCCCCCCCCCACCCCACCCCCCCCACCCCACCACCCCACCCCGCCACCCCCCCCCCCCACCCACCCCCACCCCCCTCCACACCTGCTCCACCGCCCCTTCCCCGCCCTAAACCCTAAACCCTAAACCCTAAACCCTAAACCCTAAACCCTAAACCCTAAACCCTAAACCCTAAAGGAGCCCAGAGGGGCTTAGGGTTTGGTGAGTTCAGGGTTTAGGGGGTAGAGTTGGTTTAGGGTTTAGGGTTTAGAGCTTAGGGCTTAGGGTTTAGGGTTTAGGGTTTAGGGTTTAGCGCTATAGGGGTTCGGGATGGAGGGGGGTTTCCGTTTTAGACCCTTGACTCTTAATCCATCCTAAACCCTAGCCTTCGCAGCCAGCTGCGGCTTTGGGGTCGGCGGCACTGGCGGTAGCCATTAATAATTATTTATTGTGCATATATATATATATAAATTATATACATACTTTTTTGTTGTTTAATGCTGATGTTTTTCTTGGGGGGGGGGAGGGGGGAGGGGCTACGCAACGGAATTCACAACTGGCCTCTGGCTGGTCTTTGCTGGCTGCCTGCAAGGCCTCGGCATCCAGCTCCTCCCGCAACGGTGATGCGAGGCGTATTTCCGTCTTCTGGCTGGATAGTAGGGAATCAGGGAATGAGGGCCCTATACACATCCTTTAAGGTATTGCATAGGGCCCGCATTCCCTCATTCCCTACTAAGAACCAGGGGGTCTTACAGTATTTCCGTTGTTCATCACTACTGGCCATGAGGCGGCAAGGATTTTGTGCGAACTTTGGGCTGCGGCTATATGTCGAAGACTGGACAGACATGGATTTCGGAAAGAACTTGAAGGTAGACGTCTCAACTTCTGCACAATGTTCCCTTCTCCCGTAGACCTTGGCACGCAGACCAGTTTACAGTAGGGATGCCAGGCATGATGTCCTGATCCTGCTCTTGCAAGCACTGCTGCAGGAGCTTGTCCGTATCTGACCTCGGCTAGATTCTAGCACAGTGGTTCGCGCGCATCATCGGAAAATCCATGCGAAGCTTTGGGACTAGCCCTTGTGCTGGCAGATCGTGCACAGGCCCCTTTCAAGTGGCTCTAACCTACGTACAAACTCCCACCATCTTCTGCCAAGCTTCTCTTGGGCTTCCACATTCTTGCCTTAGGTGTCGCATGGTGTCGCGGTGTGCGCTGCAGAGTTTCACTCCCTATATGAAAGCAGCTAACGGCTAAGATAACCGACCTGAACTGCCAGGCCCTTGACCTTCCGACGCGCCCGCGTTCTTCGCGGGCAGGCCGGCAGCGACCTGTGTCCTGGGCGCTGGAGGCCTGAGCTCAGACTTCTGGAGGCTTGATGCAGCGCTTAGGACAGTTTAAGAGGTGCTTGGTTTGTCCAAATTTGAAGGGCTGGGAAACTGATTCGGGAGCCGAAGGGTGCCGCTCATATCGGAGGACAAAGAGCGCAAGAACAGCCAACAGTCTGGAGATAGGTCATGGACAAACAGACCCTTCCCCCTTGCCCTACGTTGGGCTGAGATGCCGAACTTGCGCTGCTTGCTCTGCGGGCGCTGCTGCTCGTGGTCTCACGGGCGACGCCTGCAAGGCATCGGTGTCGGTGGCGTCCTCTGGCATGGGAGTTGCCTCTGGGCTACCGGTGTGCGGTGCTGGTGGAGGGCCTTCAGATGGTTGGCCAAGGCTTCCCGTGTCGGGCAGGCCCTGTGCCGTTGCTGCCGTTGCTGCTGTTGATGCTGGATGTTGGCCGGGCACCGGCGCTGGTGCAGGCCGTTCAGATGCCGGGCCCAGGCTTCCCGTGTGGGCCGTTGCGGCCGTTGGTTTGCCTTGGTCATGACGCATCGCCTTGCTGCTGTCCTCAGTCCACATTCTGTTGCTTCTGGCAGAGGGTACAAAGAAAACCCGGCGTGGGATAGGGGTAGCTTCGAGGGCTGACTCCCACATAGCCTTAGAGCTATCATGGCCACGCCTGCGACCCACAAGTCCCTTTGGCTCCTCCCTCTAACCTGCCAGGAAGCCACGTCTGGGTTGCTCCGCCCAGCGTTACCAGAAGTTTGTAAGGTGCCTGGGTGTTCCACAGAATCTCAGCAATCTGGGTGAGGGCATGTGCTCGAACAATGGATCCTTACCGATGCGTGCTAGCCCCCTAGTGGGCATCGACAGAACAGCATGTTTTGGCTGCTGTGGAGCCGGCTGTTGTAAAAATTATAAGCGTTGTCAACAGATGTTCTTTGCAGCATTTGCGCCGATGTGATGGCACATGATGGCACACATGCTGGTGAGGGCATCTAAGCCTGCGAGGAGTGGCACAACTCCAGAACGGATCCAAGTCTTGTGTATGTCCAGCAACATGTGTGAAGGACGAGGTGCTAGGACCAGCAAGAGCAGCTGTCTGCTCGACCGGCCTTGGGCAAATGAGGGGCTTCTTGGACCGTAGGATTTGGGGTGTCACTTCGTTTCGACAGCCAACGTGCGTGTGCTAAAATCGCGCGAGTCCTCTTGTCGAAGAAGGCTAATTGCGGCTTATTCCTCACGGCGGTTGACGACGTCCAATCCTGCATCGCTGGTAGTCCAGCCGAGGCGCGGCAATGGCGACTGCTTGCCTCGGAGGCCAAGCTACCACAGCCCTTGTCAGACGTACAGGTGACATGATGACATGTGGACCCCATGGCACCATGTCCTGCTGCTTGCTGTCACTTGGCCTTTCTGCGCTTGCTTCTTTCGCTCCCTCTCCTTCTCCAGCTTTTCCTGCTCCTCCCAAGGAAGCGATGCGCGACCGGACTTTGCAGGATTCCCAGCATGCAAGCTTCAGCCGGTCATGCCACACATCGGCAACCTTGACTCTTTTGTTTCGGCATGGACTCCCTTCGTCTGAGATGTTGAGATGTGCAGGGGCTCAAGGGATTGCCTACACCTCTTACGGGCGAGGCACTATAGTAACAGCCTAATCGTCACGGGCCATGAGCTTGATGAGTGTGGGCTCCAGGCACACGATGCCAAGTATGCACCCAAGGAGGAGCACTGCATCGTAGTTTGCTTTCACGTGGATGTGCATGTTTGGGTCGCTCCGGCGGATGCTGGCTATCTTGTTCTTGGGGTCCTGTAGAGGAACGACGTTGAAGTTCAGGGCCCCGTCTTCTGCTTTGAACTCCGCGCATGGCTTCTGCATGTGGTAGAACACCACCCCGCCCTGGGGACCTCGAGCAACTTTGCCAAAGTAGCTTCCGTTCTCGGAGTAAACCGTCAAGAGGACATCGGTCGGCGTAGAGGAACCTCGGAGAAGCACGCCTGGGCCATCTGCATGCACAGACTTGATCCGCATCATGCGGCCCTCTGTCATGGTCGCTGTCATCAAGGTGATGTTCTTTTCACTTGCAATGGGGAAGGATGGTCTCTGATCGTCCATGACCTGGGCCACCTCGAGGCGAAACTGGTGGTCGCTCTGCTGCTCACGGTGGAAGTGGGGGCACAAAATGGGAACTGCGGTGACCTCACCGCTTCTGGAGCTTTTTGCCTTGGACCCAAAATCCTGCTCCGGCCCCGGCGGTGGGCTGCTTGTCATGGACAGCTTGTACAGCACCCCCAGGAGCAGGATGATCAAGACGGTGACTGCGAGGTCTACGAAGATGCTTGCAGCATTGAGGCCAGTGAGGCTGCTGGTGGTCGTAGCTGCAGCTTCAAGGGAACGCCCATCTTTGCTTTGGGTCAAGGCCAACTGAGACACATTCTGCGAGACGTTCAAGACCTGTCCGCTCCGATTCGCCACGCTCTCTTCCACTTGCGAAACGTTCTGGTGCACTTGCAGCAGCCACAGGTCTGTCTGCTCGATGTCATCTGCATCACTCCTGCTGCATGCTGATTCCCCTGCACATTCCTGAGCAAGTCCCGTGCAAATTGCGGCCGCGAACCAAATTGCCAACATCTGGAACGGTACAGTTGAAACTATTATCAGAGTTACCTGAGCATAACTCCCTGCAGCGGGCAGTGGCAAATTCGTCAAGGTGCACTCAATGGGATGTGTTTTACAGACTGAACACATGTCAGAAAGATATCCCACCACACACGCTCGACATGCAGCGGCCGCTCATCCATGCAGCTGCGCTCTTGCTCATGTCGCTCGTTCACGTGACTGGCATGCGCAACACGGCGTTTCAACTCGACCCTTCATCTGGCCTGCGTGGCCCTCATTCGCAGCTGCACGCGACCCAGCCTGCGACTTCGGGGCAGGCCAGGGCAACTCTGGATCAGGCCACCAGCACCATGGTAACAAGTACTACATCGGGGCTCAAAGTTGCAGTTCACTTGGGCTCAGTCTAAGCCTAAGCGCTTGGTCTTGCTGACTGGGCTCAGGCTTGTTGAGGGGGCTCCCTGACCCCGTCAGCAGATTTCAACATTTCGCAGAGGCGACTCGGAACCAGAAGTTCCTGCTAACCAAATGGGGAGGCCATAAGCATCTTCAGTTTGATCCCGCTCCATCCTGCCCCTGCGGCATAACAGGTGGACTGTTGCTCAATCCTTCCAACACTCAACTGAGACTTGGAACTTTGGAAAGACATGTTCTGCCAAGCACCCAAAGCCCACAGCTACTTCATGAATGATGTGTTATAGAATCATAGAATGTATCAACCCCCATGCTCCACACGTGAATTTCTAGGTAAAGCACGGACATAGCCAGAGCAACCCTCACTCTCAACTTCCCTGCTCAAGTGCTCCACGAAGGGATGTGGACAAAGCCGAGTGGCAGCGAAGACACCGCGAATGCTGCTGCCTCCTCAGCCAGCTCCTGGAGAGAAAACGTTTGGGAGCAGATGGCTCTAGGCCGACTGAGAGAGGCTGAGCGTGGCTGGCCAACTATGTCCGGAAGCCTCAAAACAGTTCTGCCGATTGCAAGTCAGGGCTGCGGGAGTACACTTCAAAACAGCTCGACCTCTGTTGGAGGCGGTTGACAAGCTACTAGTACCTGCCATTGCCATTTCCATTGCAGCCAAAGCCTGTTTGCATTCCAGACTGATTGGCCTACTTTACAGCTGTCTACCTTCTTGAAAAGCTTGTGAGGCCGGTCCCGCTCGCTGCCGAAGACATTGATCCCCTGCGAGGACTTGTCGGTGGCTTCATGAATGTCGAAGGCTGGTTAGAGAATGACACATCCTCTACGAGCTTGTTGTCAACGGAATGTGCACAGCAAACGTGCCGCTGAAGCCTCCGAGCTGCTGATGAGAGAGGCTGCGTTGTGTTGTGAATGGTTCAAAGTGTGCATTCTGCAACAACCGCAAAGCTCCGGTCCCCTTACCACCTATCCAGACTCAGACAAGCATGACAAGCAGCCGACATGAAAACGCGACAATGCTGACAGTTGTACAGAAATTTCAATGATTCCCGGTGTGTCTAGAATCCTCCGGACTGCCCTGAACTTTCTCCCCTCAAAGCCTGCAGGCGACGGGGCGCGTTCACTGGGGGTGTGGGCGACTGCGTGCGGATCCGCTCTTGGCAGAGGCGAAGCCTTGGTGTTGGGATTTGTTTCTTTTCCTTGTGGTTCAACGGTTTAACTGGATGCTGAATGGGGTGTTTCGGGAACTTCCTGGGGATGGTCACACTCAGATTGGCGAACTGTCTTGCTGAGTCCTCGGGCTCTCCAATGCTTAGCCCTGTAGTTGGGGGCTCATTCTGTGGACTCAGAGGAGACCAAACTGGTAGTCAAGACTTCCAATTCCCTGACCCTTTCCAGGGATCGAGGCTGGTGGCAAATGGCGTGCCAGCTCCCATGCTCAGCATCCCTAGAAAACCTGAACTCACAATCATCAGCCCTCGACCCCCACCCACGAGCAGGCTGGCCGAGAAGCTCTGCCTGCGTAACGTTGAGAAGCGCCTCGCTCCCAAAGCCCGAACAAGCGTGCAGCAGCCACCCCCCCCCCCCTCCAAGCCACCCCCAAACGCGAGAAAACAAAGCAGCTGGGAGGGTCTCGGACTTTGGGTGGGGCACTTGCGCTCACCTTGTTCAACTATCCCTCAGATCATCTTTCATTACCAGCTATGAGCCCTTTGAATCCCAAAGCTCGTGCTGAACTCTCGAAACCTCCAGGCTCTGCAACATGAAGGGCCTCCCAGTCTCCATATGTTCTGGCCAAGGGACCATGCAGCCTTCGTATTCCTCATTCTTCCTTGGGGTATCCGGACATGTGGCTGCAAATTGAAAGCGCCAGGGCTTTGGCAGATGCTACAGAAAAGCCACGACGCACTACTAACCTGCAACCTGACCTAAGGTCGCGCCAAAACTGGCTTTGCCAGTGTTGCGAAGGATCGTGCTCTGCCAGGCTCTTAGAGGTCTCTTAACGACATCTTTAACACTGGCGCCACTTCAGCTGCGGTAGCTTATTTATCCATTCGCCCAGCTGCTTCTTCAAAGCAGACCGGTATCGGTTCAGATCCGCACTTTGGAGGCGCAGATCCTGAACTTCGGGCCATATGGGGTCTGTGTGGTGTGAATCCCTATGAAAGAGGCTGCAAAGAAATCTCCTCCTGCAGCTTCTGCAGCTCCGTCTTGCCTTATGGGAGAGGAGGAATGGGGTGTATGGAAGGGGGGGGGTTTGGCTTCTGGGTCTTAAAATGATGCAACAGCATCTCGGTGTGAATGGGCATCCGCTGCTTTATGGGCTCGGACTGCTTGGATGCTGAGACCGGCACACCCCACCCCCCTCTCCACGTCATGGCAACTTCAACTATATGTAAACTATGCGCACGTTCTTTAGCTGAGGCTAAGTGCCAGTCTACTTGACTTCCATTTTTTGCGGAATGCGGAAAAGCGGTTAGACAGATCACGTTCACTGCACTGTTGAAAAAACATCACGACGCCCAAAGAGCTTGCGGAGCAATGCGGCGCACGTGCAAGAAGCTTTGCGTTTAGGACTGGGCGTGCGGCATTGGGATCCCCGCACAATCCCGCACATTTTCATGACATGTTAATCATGAGCCAGGCTGCCTTCCGGTGGCTCCAGGGGTGCGAGGTGTGCACCTGAACAGCACTTCTCTCAGAGTGATTCCTCCTCATCAGCTGCATGCCGCCACTTTGCAAGACTCCGCAGAGTGGCCCAAAGATGGCCCGGGTACCACTCCTCACCCAAGAGGCCTGCCCCCATCGGCTCTGGCACAGTGAAGCTCGGCGCCTCCACGGGCGATGCTCCTTAAGGTACGCACTGAGGCTCGGTCTGTCAAGCTTTGCGCTCGGTTCTGGGGTGGCATGTCGGCATTGCCGGCATGATGTGAATATGGGCACCTTCCGGGCTTTCCGGGATGAAAGATCTAATCAACTTTGTTTAGAAAGCATCTGAAGCTCGCGTAATATCAAGTTCTGTCAGGGTATCACCTCAGGTCACATAGTGGGATCCCGAGCCTTCTCACGATGCCCGCCCGATTTTGAATCCTCCCCGCCGCCTTCAAAACGATGCCTCACCCATTGTGCAGCCAAAGCGGCTCGCCCGCACAGGTTTCGTCGAGCTTTTCAGCAAAGTGCCAGGCAGTGCTCGCCTCGGGGGGATACCGCTGTCGAGGAGTGAGGTGCCTTGTGCGACTTCTAAGTTGGCAGGGCTTGCAGAGGGGCCCCAATCACAGGTCAAGGTCTGGCGGCAAGTAAACGCTTCCGCCATCTCTGGGAAGAACGTCGAGGGCTTGTTGGGTAAGCTGGCTAGGGTTTGTTCCATGGGATGACAGCAACCTCAGACCCCTAAAGGGGTGGAATGCCTCCGCAACTTCGCAGCACAACCCCAGGCAAAAGCAAAGTGTTGCACGAAAAGTGGCGGAGCGGGAAGTGTGATGCCTACGTCAAGCACGTTCTCGCGGCCAGCTAAGGCAACATCACGGCGTTTTCGCCTGGGCTTGTGTTGGCTTCCATCTTGTATGGACATTGGGGGATGGGCGACTGCGTATGCCGGCATCCTTGGGATCCCACGTGCCCCAAGGTGCCTAAGCCCTCTGACACCGAAGCCCTGCACCAGTACATCTTGCATCCAGCGGCGACATCGCTGCCAGGTCGGTGCCACCTAGCTGGTGGGCTTGGGCTTCTTTGGGCTTCTGACCAAGCTTCTTGTATCAGCCCTGAACCGCCTCAGCAAGTCTGCAAATACACCTATAGAACCTATAGCTCTGCCACCAGGGCTTGCAGTTTGGCGGCCGGGGGTAGTTCTGCGGCCACGGCTTCCGCGCCTCTGCGCCTCCAATGCTCCAAGGGTTGCATGTCAGTGCAGGAAGTGCAGGTGTGCTCGCAGGAGGGAGGTTTGGGGTCTTAGCAGCTTTGCACTTCACGTGCACAACTCGTTAAACAAGGAGGCTTTCCTACTGTGATCTATCCGATCTGCCCAGCAATTCAGCTGTGAAACGTTACAAAATCCGCAACCCCACGTTTGGCACCCCGCATGTGTAACTTTGGGCGGGGTCATTGACTGGCGCATCGGTGATGCGAGCGCCACCTGCTGGCAATGAACTGATGTCAATCCTCCCGACGATCTCTGGGATGTTTTTCTGCGCCCAAGCGGTTTACAAGAGTCCTCGTGACCTTGAGTGCCGCCTCAAGACAGAGCAGCTCAGTTTGCGAAAGTGACTGTTGTGACATTTCATCAGGTCACCTATTGCAGCCGTTTTCCTGATCTCCCAATCTCTAAAAAACTTCCCGGCCTCAAAATGGACATCTGGAAGATCCATGTTGATGTCAACCTCGCCTGCGACAGGGTTCGGGTACTCCCAAAAGAAGTAAAGTTCAGAAGTTTCAAGCACGTTTAGATGCCATTTCAGCACATTGGGTTGGGTTCTCAGCGATGGGATCTACAGGCTTCGGCTTGAGCTCAAGGGACCCGCATTCCAACCACCCCCCATCACGTCCAAAGCGGTCCTGGCCCTCATCCCCAAACACAACAAGAACAAAACCTACACCTTGCATCATGATGTAGGGCAGCATTGGGCGATATGGAAGTTTCTATTGAAAAAACATGGGCTGTGCTACTGAGTGCGCTATGCAGTGGCTTACGTTGACTGGAGCCAGCGTTCTTTCGCTAATTTTGGTGTTTGGTGCGTCTCCCCCTCGCTCACTCTCTTTCTTCATTCTCGCAACACTTCGCCTTCTAGACTTTCTGTATCCACCTGTTTCCGGGTTTACGGAGACCCGCAAGCTGCCTGGTAGGCGCGGCAGCCTGGTGTCGCCGCGTGGGGCAGAGCTCGGTACAATGCCCAACGGCCTTAAGGCACACCGTGCGAAATTCTCCCAAACTGTGGAAGTCTGATCAGGGCCTGGGGGGCACCATGCACATGCGACCCGACGGAAACGAAATGCAAACACGCCAGGGTTCCGGCTGATGGCTGTCATCTGGTGTCCACATCCTGCGCCTCATGCTCTGGTTGGGATTGGGATCTTGATTTGAAGCCGGATATCCAATTGGATGCCTACGTGACAACCGCCTTCCAACTTTCTTGCGCTCTGCCGTTCAAGGCGCCGCATTCTTCGAAGTGATTGCTAAAAAAACATCCTTTGAAAGAAGCTCCATGTCCTAGATTCCTATATGTTCCCTAGTTATCCTATGTTCCTACATGTTCCTTAAAAAACTCCTCCATAATCCTTAATTCAGTGGACCAGCATTCCTTTCACGAAGCGGCGTCTCCGCGGTTCAGAGCTCTGCTCCGGGGTGAAGTCTTCCCTGCATCTGCGTGGAGGGCCGCACGTGTCCTGTTGCAAGAGCCGTGCTTTGGGCCTTTGGACCATCCGATGCCATCAGAGTCTACAAAACCCTAAACCCTGAACCCTCTTCTTGCCTGCGGGTCTGTGGAGGCCAGTCCCCACTACAGCTCTGGCGGAAGTCTGAGCCGAAATTGATGCCAGGTTTAGGGTTTAGGGTTCAGGGTTTAGGGTTTAGGGTTTACAGAATGCAAGGCGCCGATGCTTTGAGCCGCTTGAGCCTACTGTCGGCCAATGGAGCATCGTTGCTTCCCAGGCTCTTCAGGCTTCAATCTTAGAAGAGCCTTGTGCGCTCTTGAAAATCGCATCTTCAGGCATGTTTCTGCCTCGGCCCCAGGAGTCCCGATCCCAATCTTTTCGAACCCGCAACCCTTCCCGACCTCACCGAGAAAGTCTGAATAGCCCTTGCCTCCATGGCAGGGCATGTGGACACCCAGAGTCCTATAATAATGATAAAAAATATTGATCATAAGTATAACATTCACAGTAATAATAACAAGAATAAAAATGATGATAAATAATAATAATAATAATAATAATAATAATAATAATAATAATAAGCTGCTAGTACTTGCCCTGGCTCTTCAGCCTTTGCTTTCCGGAGCTTCTCGGTCTATGAATTATCACTCAATGCTGACAAAACCCGTGCTTGCTTCGAGTGCGCCTTCAACCGCAAGATGTGCAGAAAACAACAGCTGCCTCTGCTAAGCCCCTGAATCCTCTCCAGCCCCAGGAGCCGAAATCGAAGCTGCAAGGTGGAAGGCTGATGTTGTAAAGTATACGAAGCCCAGGACCATCATCACGACTTCTTGTGGCGAGTGCACCCTGATCCGCCCGCCTTCTATAAGCGAAGCCTAGTTTCCTGCTCTCGCAGCTGGGATTCTCAATCTCAACCCGAGCAGCCGAAAGCACCCCAAGCAAACGAATCAAAAGCATCCATCCACACAGTGGGAAGGCACCGACGGTTCTCAGGCATGAGGGTTGTTCACGCGAGAGCAGCATCGGAGTTCTGAACTTGTGTTCTGAACTTGTGTAAATACTAGCTTGACCCGATGCCAATCCCACCCCCAAGGATGCTCTCAGCCCACGACAAGACTGACGCAGCTCCTCCACTTCCTGCTGCAGCTGCTGGCCTTCTTTCGTGGCACATTTCTTAGACCACAAAGAACCATTCAAATAAAGCGCAGTCTCCCTTGTAACAACAGCTCGTGACGCTAGTGGCAGCAGCTAGGATTCTTCGCTTGAGGCTTGAGAGCCGTGAGCCACCGAAATTGAACGCTATTCATTCCATGCCTTCCTGGGCTCACATCGGATGCAGTCACAACTTTTGGATGCTTCAGGCATGAGCGCGCCCGATATCTTTGCGGGCAGAGGATGCCTACGAGTAATTACCTGGGCTCATTCAGAGATCGCTGGATCCCGAACTTTTGTGGCAAAGCTGTTCCGAAGTGGTTGCTTCACAGGGTCTGGCGAAGTTTAGGCCCTGACAAAGAAGGAGAACAGCAAGCTAGAGGGGGGGGTGTAGGCCCTGCGCGGGAAGGGGTGGGCGGGAGACAAGACTGGTAGACTGCAGCTCAACAAGGTTCGTCATGGTATTCGCTCCGGGTTGTGTATTGAAGGGTTTTCGAGCTGTGTGGAAGAAGGCTTGCATTCAGTGTCGTACAGATGGGATCTCCAGTCGACCCGCAAATGGTCCAAGAGTCTCTCCGGGCATCAGAACTTTCTCGTGCTCAACTTTGGAGCTGTGCTCGCCTCGGGTGGGCTCCGAGCGACCTGCAAACTCTTTTCGACTCTCAGTGGCGCAGGGGCCGGCTTTGACTGAGATCAAGCAGACGCCGAAACACCCCGTTCCCGAAGCCATAGAAACAGCCTCAGAGGCTGTCTGTCAGAGACGTTCAGCTCTCATTCCAAGGTTCCAGTGTCCCAAGCTTCCTTACCCTGACGGTCGGCCGAATCAGCCCCAAAGTGCCTTCAATGCCTCCTAAGCCCTACCCTAGACCGTTTCAGGTGAAGCCCTGAAGCCTCCTCAACCCCTGAAGCTGATTCCAAGCTGTCGGCTACTCGGTCTCAGGTGGTCCCAGCAATGCGACGCTGCGGCCGTCCTCCTGATGAAGGCACCAGCGTTGGGAGGGTCTGCGACAGGTTCTACCCATGAGTCCATTTGCGATCTGCACAACGAAGTAACCCCACTGTGCCGATCCATGACCGCAAAACCAGAATGCTGCTCCAACTGCCCACGGCTTGACTGAGGCGCTGTGAATCGAAGGAGCAGAATACGATTTCGGGCTCCCGATTTCAACCTTCTGGTCAGCAAAATGTCGACAATGCTCCTCATCGACCTCTTGGTCTTCCTCCTCATCATCCTGCAGGAGGATGAAGCCCTACCCAGAATCAGAAAAAGGCATTGCGGCAAAGTTGCTGATGACAGAAAACAGCTTGGCATTACGAGCGTTCGGCCGGGACAACAACTGAATGTCAACAACCACGTGTCGGAAACGTCGCGCCCGCTGCCGCCGTCGCGCCCGCTGCCGCTGCTGCTTAACTTGCGCATCCCACAACTGCGACTTCAAGCTATGCCAGTAAACCCCCCCCCCCCGCCCAGAGTGAGGCATATGCGTCGTGTCTAGGCGAGGACCATGGAGTCGCACCAGGGCTCCTGTAGAATGAAGAAAGCCATGTTGCGCAAATGTGTGCGATGTGCAGCGCGATGTGCAATGATCGTTCGGAAAGCGGAAGGTGCGGAGGTGCTGGCAGAGAGGGTGTGGGAACAGGCAATGACAATCCGAGGGAGGCTGGAGAGGATGCCGTGCAGAGGCAGAGTTGCGAATCACGGCACCAACGGAAGCCACGCTTTTGCCGACAAAAATAAGTGGTGCTAGTGGAATCTACACAGCTTGAACGCTCTTGAGGCCGCTTGAACACTGCTGTTGCTCTTCACTCACGTTGGGCAGCAGCTACGAAGCTGCGTTGCTCGGAAACATCCTCAGCGGTTCGCTGAGTGGCAGCTCCTCCTCCTCTTCTTCCACCTCTTCGCTCTCCTAAGATGAGGATCCATTCAGACATGTAGAGGCATGCAATCCAAGGCCAGGGATCCTCAATGATCCCCTGACTCGAAAACTCTCACCTTTTTGGAATGAACCCCAACCCTTCTTCAACCTGGCACTCGCTCAGAGCCCGGCTGAAGGTACTCTGGCCGTTCCAGTTCCTGAAGGAACCAAAGCTTTGAAGCCGCTCTTTCCGTAGTCTAAATGCATGTAGAAGCCCGACCACTGGGGGCGGGGGAGGGGGGGGAAGGGCACAATAGCAGCAGCATGCAAGAATGGCAGTCTTCAGTATGCTGGGCTGCTGGACAGGGCACTAAGAAGTCAATACAAGGAATGCGTAGTTTGAGAAACATTGAGAACCATTCGCAAGATTCAACGCCGAATCTTAGTTTTGGACTCTGCGCCTGTGACTGCATTCGTGGAAATGCCGCCAAGTCCGATTGTAACCCTAAACCTTAAACCCTAAACTAGGCCCTAACCTTAAACCCTAAACCCTAAACCCCAAACCCTAAACTCTGCCAATTGAGCCGAAGGTTCGTGACTGCATCGTGGCGAGGCCACGGCGAGTCAGGTGGCCTCGCACGGCCGACTGGATCTTGGTGGCCTGAGTTTTTGCTTCCAAGTTCCAAAAGAGTTGAAAGAAGCTTAACTCGAGGGCTCGCTTGGAACGCACGGGAGTTGCCCTAACAACTCGTTTCGAGGCAGACGTCGCACCTGCAGCTGAAAATGCAGCCCAGCAGAGGGTCAAAACACTCCTGGAAACCTTCCCTGCAGCGCCAAAGCTGCCGGGGCCCAAGTCACATACCAAAATCCGAAAAAACTCGAGATGCAGAAGCCTTTAGAAGCCAAGAAGCTGCGCGCACCTCCGGCGGCACCGGCGGAAGTCTGCTAGGCAAGGCCTTTGGATAGCTAACAACGCACCACAGTATTCCTGCAGGGGATCATATGTGAAAGCAGCGTGACAGGGGTTCAACTTCGAGTCTGGGATGTGGGGGGGAGCCTGAAAAATCGTGTCGATTCTGGCTAAGACACAACCTGAAGGCATTGAGCCGTGGAGCCCTTGAACAGACGACCTCGCCTGCAATTCCATTGCCGAAGCCCAAGGCCCCGAGAAGTAAAAAGCTCCTGAAGCCAAGTCAGCTTCGCCGAGAAGCATGATCTTCGACCTGGCTCTGTAGAGATTCTGTCTGCTTCGGCCGGTCCATTTCTTCCGGCTCCTTCGCTGAAACGTCCGAGCATGCATCTTGGGGAGTGCTTCCGACCCTGTAGGGGTCCATCTCGCCGGCGGTTGCACATCTGTCATTGTTGATTGGAGCTTTTCACAAGGGACTCGACTGCTGCCCTTTCTGCCTGTTGATTGGAGCCCATCTCTAAGAGAATACTGGAGCCCGAAGGTTTGGAGATGCAACCTGCTAAGCACAGTCCAGGTACACAGCTCCTAGGGGCCTGTGATTAGTACCAGCGTGATCCATACCCGAAGACGGATTTCCCTCACAAAGCTTGCAAAAACGTCTTTGCCCCCCTGCTCCTGAAGCGCGTCGTCCGGACCTGAGTAAGGACAAATTTGCGTCGACAACAATGGCGGGCGCAAGAGGCAGCCCGC